CACAATATCTTGACTTGGAAATACCATGGTTATTCCTTTACTGTTACTGGTCAAAATCCTGGAACTTCCTTTCTAACAATTATGTGGGTGTCCCAACATCCCAAGGGCTGCAGCAGTTCAAGAAAGCAGGTCACCACTGACTTTTCCAGGGCAATTGGGGATGGACAACAAATGCTGGCCTATCCCATATCCCAGAACAAATTAGAAAAGAGAGGGATCTGGATGTTTTGGTATGTGTGTTACAGAGCTTTAGAAGATGATCGGAGGATAAAGGCATGTTGGCATTTATTCCAATGACAATGGAGTGTAAAGGTTGGAGAACTTTACTGCACCTGTCCCAGGCATTGATGAGACCATATCTGGAGTACTGTGTATAGCTGTGGTCTCAACTTGTTCGTTTGTTGAAGGGCTTATTTATAAGTAAAGGTTGAAGATTTTGGGCCTATACCCATTAGAGTTTAGAAGATTGAGACCTGATCTTCTTGAAACATATAAGGGCCTGAGAGGACTTGAGAGGGCGGACACTGGACAGATCATTCCTCTTGGGGCGTATAGAAATAGAGGATGGAGTTGAAGAATAAGAGGTTTCCCTTTTAAGATGAAAATGAGGAGAATTTTTCTCTCAGAGGGTTGTTACTCTGTACCTGGAAGGCAATGAAGTCTGAATTAGATTTTGACAGACATGGGTTCCCGGGATTCTGGGGAGAAAGCAGGAGAGTGAAGTTGAGTCTACAAGTGGTTCAAACATAATTTTATTGAAGATAGGACTGCTTCTGAGTTCTATGCTCCTGTTCTACCTTTGCAGTTATTTTATAAGCAGGGATAAAAGGGGCAAGTTCGGTAAGCCTAGCGTATTCACTGCTTGGGATACTATCACATAAGAAAGAAGGAATATGTCCTGTAGAGGTTTCCGTGTGCCATCGAAGGCATTCCCCTCTGATGAAGCGATCCCACTACCCTTAACCCTCCACCCCTAGTCCACCTCCCACACAGTCCATCCTCCATCTACTGAATGATAGCCATCCTATTTCTTTCAATTTCTATCTCATTATTAAGACAACATCCCTCATTTGCACACCACTTCCAATTCTGTTTCTTAAGAAACTAGACCGTGCAGATTCCCAACATAAAATTCAGAGTGGATATGCAGCAGCTTCCACCTGCCAATTGCTTGTACTGGCCATCATCCAACTGTGTCTTCAGCACATTGTCCCTCCATGCTCCATCCTTTAATATCCTCCTCAACCATTTGTCCATGCAAGTTGGCATCGACAAATCACTAGCCTCACCACATCATCATGACTGCTCTTTGGTCAACTCTCACATTACTTCAGCCCTTCAGCACTTGAATTTGGAACTCAGGAACATTATGACTTCCATCCTTCTGCTAGGTAGCTTAGTGTGCAGGTACATGAATGCATCCTATCCATCTCCACAGCATACATCTTTTGGCTGTGGTTTGCTTTTCTGCTGCTCACTCACTTTGCGCTCACTTGGATGCCACTAGCTTCTGGGTCTTGCATTGATTTTTAGCACCGATGGAGAGGCAGACAGCCCATTACAGTGGGGAGCACTGAGTTGTCGAGGAGGTGGACATGTAACTGTATGGCACTAATTACAGCAGTGTCACATTTGCAGCATGTGCCAGTTGTTTATGCTGCAAACACAGTGCATATCTTCAAGCAAATGGCCATGTATAAAAGTCAAAATGGTGCAGTCTTTAGTGGTGTGAAGAAGGACTATGGTCATTCAAGGGATACCATTACAGTGAGTCAGTGGGCCCATTGGATTCTAGTCCAGTACGTTAGCTATATCTGTCGGGTGCTTGATCCAACCAGAATACAGAGATCTGGTCTTTACAGTTTGTGGATTCAGCCATGGACACATGCATTGCTGCAGATAAGTGAAACTAATCTGGGATTTACAGGTAGTTATTTGGGGTACTGTAGAAATAACAATCTCAGGGATGGATTGTGCTCAGTCAGGTCTGTCCTGCTAAGTCTCTCTGGTCAGGGGGTCATGGTCAATCCTGGGGTTCTGTTAATATTGGTCAGGGGTTTATTGTAGGTAGCCTGGATAGTCCTAGGGAAACTGAGAAGCTCATGTCTGGGGATGGAGTTCAGTGCACTGGGTTGTTGAGAGAATGATCACAGTTAAAGGAACAAGGTGGGATCCGAGAGACCAGAAGAGGTGAACTTAGATTTCCTGAAGGGGGCAGATTAGAGTCACTCTGGTCTCTCCATGGATCATGTTTCTGGATAAAAATGGGATAGCAATTTGTAAAACCATGGACTCTGGGAATAAATTGGGGAATATTAATAGTTGTATCGAGGGGCTCAACACAAATGGGAGGAGGCTGAAAGATTGTCAGGGGCACAGGATCAGCAACATAATGTTTGTTTTTTCTTGAAGTTTCCCCATCCCCACATGCTTTTGTCTGACTAAATTGAGTATTTTCTCCTGAAAAGGAGCGAGGAGCCTGCTTTCTGCCACCACCCCAACTACATCCTGTTGATCTTGGCCCTCTTCGCATGTGGACCAGTTTTTGATGCAGAGACAAAGGGAGGGATTGAATATGATGCAGGAGCAAGAGAGATGGCATGGTGTCCCCAGTGAGTAAATAGAAGGCACAGAGGGCATAAAAAGATGGTAGTTTAGGAAGATGAGGAAGGTAAGAAGCATTGAGTGAACAAGATACATAGAATACTGAGACTGTAATCCATAAATATTGAAGAGAAGCACGTACAATGGCAAAGTTAGAGTGACTGCTGGCCCAGTGAGTCAGAGGTAGCAAAGAGAAGATTGTACTGTAGTGCACAGAAGATCAGTCACCTCCTTTCAGGTTTCAGAGATAGTAGGAACTGCAGATGCTGGAGAATCTGAGATACCAAGGTGTAGAGCTGGATGAACACAGCAGGCCAAGCAGCAAGGAGGAGCAGGAAGGCTGACCTTTCAGGCCTAGACC